AAATAAATATCCAAAGATAGAAGCCCAAAGGGATAGGAGAAGACCAAATTCAACCAAGAGAAAACGAAAAAGTAGAGTTTGCCTGAAATAATATCTGGCATGCTAGGCTAAAACTCCTGGTAACCCAGCAGGGTCACTTCATGCTTACAGTACCTCAGTATGACGGAGGAACAAAAAGTTGCCAACACAAGGAAAGGCCTTTAATTCCATGTCGCTGGGAAATAATGACAGACTATGAAATCTGTCCATGTGCAGAGCCCAAACAAGACTGAAATTTCACATGTGGCCTACCGTTAAGTAGGATGGTAAAAATAAACTTGGCCAAGCTGTTTTTCAAAACACAATGTTTCTACAAAAGCAAGGGATAGGAACTTTCTTGAAGAGATAGGAACATTAAAGCAAATGTATGGGATACATTGGATATATATTGATTGTATGTATTGTGTGTATGTTGATTAAACCAAATAATACACACATACATATAAATATATTCATATATTTTTAAATAAATTAAAATATACATACAAATTTTAAAATATATATTTGAAGTTGAATAAAGTTGAGATCTTAAAGTAAGGCCACAGCAAGTAGGTAATTTTTAAATGAGCCCCCAAGCCCAGTAATCCTTTCTTCTGCATGCCTAGTTAGCGAGGACCCGCACATATAGTTTGGAGGCCATGTAGCATAATGGTCAAGCTTGGAGTTCCTGGAGTGAAACCTTCAGGCCTTAGATGCCAACTGCACTACTATCAGTGTGACTTAGAAAAGTTCCCGAACCAGACCTCAAAAACATGACATAATATCAGTACTTACCTTACATGGCTATTGTGGGGACTACACGAGATAATACATGTAAAACACGAGACTGGACCCTAGCACATATTAGGGACCCAATAAACATTCACTATCAATATCACAAATCCATTTTTTTGCTCCACAATCCTCTGTGGTGTCCACAGAAACTAATAGAGCAAGGAGTAACCAGTAGTATTTAATACATGCTGTTGCTTGATTTAGAAATTAGGTTTCCATAACTTGTTTGATTTCCTAAATCCCACAATATAAACAGACATATAAAGCAGAAAATTTCTTTTCTTTTTCCTATGTGGTATTTCCATCAGTTAATAAACAAACGCATTTTTTCAGTGTACCTATTTTTTTGTTTAATTCCATCTTCTTAGAACAGAGTAAATGCCTGGTCCTTGTCATCAGTATTAAATCCCATAAAGAATTGTCCTAGATGTCAGCACAATATCAGTACCTTAGAACAATTTTCCTCACGATTTCTCCAAGGAGCAGATTCTCCAGATGTGAATAGGTACCCCTATTGTAAAAAAAAAAAAAAAAAAAGAAAGAATTCTATACTAGAGTTAATTTGAAAAATGTTGGATTAAACAATGTTAACTAGGCATGCAGGATTTATCAGAGCCTTCAATAGGTTAATGAGTGCTTTGGCTATCCAAGAGATGAATATAAAATGCCATGTTTCCCCAAATCACTTGTCCACACAACTCCTTTTTCATAGAATTACCTCTTTCACAGAACTATGACCCTCAGACAGAACTAGCGCTCTATGATAGACACTTTCGGACACGCTTAGAGAGACTACCTGAAATCTATTAACTTTCCCATGGAAAGTGAGGTCACAATCTCATGAGAACACGGTCACTTTTCTACCCAGATGGTCTGCCTATAAAGCAATGGCAGCTATAAAATATCAGTGCCCTGATACCCAGGGTTGATCCTGATGATTTTGCTGGTTGGGAAGGTCTCTTTTCTCTTATACCACTCCCTATATAGGTTCTTCCTGCCCCTATAAACTCATAGGGGCCAAATTCTTCAAAAGATGAATGCAACACTGTTTTTAGTCAAGCTCATCACTTGTTATAGAAGTGTGTTATGTTAGGATAAACACGTCATCAGTGGGTACAATAAAAGATAAAATGTACATTTGTATTGTACTTTCTACAGTTATTTAAGCCTGCATTCCAATTTTGTCTCTTGATCAGTGTTTCCTAAACTTTAGGATCATAATAATCATCCATGGAACTTGGGGTAAGTAATGATTCTTGAGTTCTACCAGCCCACATGTTTTAAAATGCTTCTCTGGTGAAGCTTATGATCAAGCACCTTTGGGCAATCCAAACTTGGCTGCGTACTACAAACCTTATTTTCTTGAAAATACCAGAATCCTAAACAAAACCTACTGAATCAGAATCTCCAAAGGTGGGCCAGGTATCTGTATTTTTTAAACATCTAAGAAATTTGGAAAGCCAGTTCTCTGAGAGGAACCATGGCTCTACACCTCAGGTTCATCTACTGATAGAGCTACAGATGGAACTGCAAGGCAGCTCCTCCAACATGAAGTCCCAAGCTTCTTCTATGGGCTCACATAATACTGGTCACACGGTGCTGATCAGCATGATGCTCTGTACAGGGGAGGAGCCCCAAACACATACTGAATGACGAAGGAAGGAACGTCAATAGTAATATCTAAAAAAACCAAATAATTTTCTTTGAAAATAGGCATAGTTGAGAGCAGGAAATTTGTCCAGAAAGCCCCAATGCAGTTTGATCAAGAGGCTTTTCTCTAGAAGATACGATCATTCTACTTTACCTTCCAGTATTTTTTACAGCATAAAATAGCTCCTTAGGCTTTCTGTACATAACATGAAATACCTTCCCAAACTTCACCAAGCAGTTTTCTGACTGGTGATATGGTTTCCCAATATATTTCCATTTTGGTTTGGTCCCCCAACCCCTTGAGCCTGAGTCTGTTTAGAATGAGCTCTCTACAAGGGCCTTCTGAGCAGAAAATGTGTGAATGTTGCTAAAAAGCAGAAGACTTATAATCAGGTATTGGGTGCTGGACCCTTCATGCTAGAGAGAAGAAGCAATATCAGCACAGGTCATGGAATTAATTAATCATGATGTCAACCTCGAGAATCTTTTATTTGGAGAATTAGCAAAAATGGTAGAGATATTGGAAAGTGAAAAAGGGTTAAAAGAGAACTTCTGGAGCTAATTTTGTTAATAGGATTCCTACAAGTCACCCCTCAGTAACCAAGATGCAATTTCTTTTTAACAGTTAATCTTTTCTTTTGGAGATAATTGAAGACTTACAGAAGAGTTCCAAAGACAGTGCAGAGAGTTCTCATATACCCGTGACCCAGCTTCCCCATCCTTAACAACTTATGTAACCATAGAAATTTTTGTCAAAACTAAGAAATTAACTTTAGCATAATACTATTAGAAAAAGTATAGAACTTATTCAGATTTCACCAGTTTTCCCACTAATGTCATTTTTTTTTGTCCCAAGATCCCACATTGCATTAAATCATCATGTCTCCTTAGTCTCTTCTGATCTGCGAGAATTCATCTTTATTTCCAGATCTCAACACTCAAAGAATATTCTTTCTTTAGTAGAATGTCCCTCAATTTGAGTTTGTCTGATGTTTTCTCATGATTAGACTGAGGTTATGTATTTGAGACAAGAATACTACAGAAGTTATGAGCCCTTCCCAGTGTATCGTATCTGGGGGTGCATGGTGTCCATAGATATTACTGGTGATGTTAACTTTGATCACCTGGCTAAGGTGGTATCTGCCAGGATTCTCCACTATAAACTTACTATTTTCTTCCCTTTGCAATTACTAAATATCCTGGGGGAGAGACTATTTACGCAGATATCCTGTTTCTTCTTAAAACTATTACCCACTCATTCTAACATCCATTGGTGGATTTTGTCTGAGGTAATTATCACTGTGGTTTTCCAATTCTATTTAGAACTATTTTATTTAGAAATTCTACTTTCTATTTCCATCATTATTTCTACTTTTATTAATTGGAATTCTTCTGTAAGGAAGAGTTGTTACTTCTCCCCCATTTCAGAAAAGAGATTGAAACGACAGAAATAGGCTACATAATTTTAGGTAGACCAGTAGGACAGCATGCATAGGTGATTGGGTCTTCAGAACATGCTGCTATACCACCATCCCCTGATGGCTTTCTGCCCTAAAGACAAGCAAAATACGCACTAAACATGGAAAATCCTAGAGTTTAAATCTAAATGTAGGGCTAGGGCAGAAATGGCAGGGTGGTGATGATGTCAGGGGGGGTTATTCCTGGTGGTGTCCATCTGAAGAAGATGGAAATGCCGGCCAGGAACAAAAGAATTTCTGGGGTTCAGAGAGTTTAGGCACAAAAGATTAAACAAGTTGATGGCAATTGGATGCTTGGTCAAAACACAAGTAACTGCCAAGAGAGTTCAGACAAAAGATGGCAGAGCCAGTGAAAAAATTCTAGAAAGAACGTAGGCCAAGATCTCATGGGGACTAGGACTGGGCACTGAGGATCTGGGTGAAAGCAAGGAAGCTAGGCAAATATGACAGACCCAGAAAACAGAAAAAATTAGCTAGTATAGCTAGAATTGTTCTCTGTAAAGGGCCAGGGAATAAATATTTTTGGCTTTTGGGGTGTGCGGTCTCTATCCAACAACTCAATTCTGCAGCTGTAGTGTGAATGCAGCCACAAATAGGAATGGGAATGGCAGGATTTGGCTTGCAGTGAGTTAAATTTAGCCTATGGTTCATAGTTTGCCAGTTCTGAAGCAATAAAGCCAATAGCACACTGAGGGCCAGAGTGTCTTTTGGGCTATATACACAGTACCTCTTGGTTGGTCCTGTCTTGACTTAAAACTCTCCCCGAGGGTCAATGAACTTAAAAAATGACTATAGTCACTCCAAAGAAGGGATAAAAATTTTGTGGATTCTTGATAATAAGGGGTCATGGAGTTACCTAGTTATTACCCTATACCTAGATAGAGGGGTAAGCATTACCTTGGAATTTAACCAAATTACTTATGTTTATAATACATTCTCCCAAACTGGATACATTATATATTTTATTTGGAAGTTAAATTTTAGTAGTACTTTATGTTGAGGTTTCTTAAGATATTTTGAACGAAAATTGAATATAAGCCACTGCTACTATTAAATGGCCTCTTAACTTGGAATTTTATGATATGAGTAATTTGAACCAAATCCTTGTCTTAAATTATTTCAGTAAGTTGAAATAAAGGAAACACTAACATTCTCTCCATCCTTTCATTCATCTCTGGCCTGGTGTTTTGTTTAATATTCTCTTTAAACATTATACCTTTGAAATATAAGCTTTTAGAACATAACGGTGGCTAAACAGAGGAGGATGAACCAGAGGAGTATTTCAAATCATTTCGCTCTAGGAGAGTTAGAATATATAGAAAACAGTAAACCAATCCTTTTAGGAATGAGATATCAATTCTATTTTCCTTGTACCCTCTGGGCTTTTCTTGAATTTTTGAAATCCTTTCTCTATAACTGGAATCCTTGTGAAGATATTTCTGTATATTTATTCTCAAGTAGCAGAAAAACATTTTGGAATTCTTTGCTAACTTAATTTTACGATGTTTTATAATTTTAACAGCCTCGGAAGTTATACAGGTGCAAGCCTAATGCCAGATAGGCAAAATGTGTGGCCACTCATCTGAGGGACGAATAAAAACAGAAAAATACCTTTCAATATTTTCAGTTCCCATAATGTCTTGTTAGTTCTCTGGAAATTTAATATCGAACCTGTGCCATACTTTGCAGATTGGATTTGAAGAGAGTCAATTTCAGTAAAATATCAAAAAGATGCTTTCACGTTTCAAATCTCATTAGACTGACTGTTGGTGCAAGACATGCATGGATCGACATCTCAATTTACTGTTTTGTAACATTGGAGTTGAAATATTAAGCAAATTGTTTTTCCCATAAGAAATTTGTCAGCAATTTGCTTTTACCTTGTAAAAAAAAACAATAGTTTCACACCCTCAAACTAGTAAACAAACTAGAGAATCATTTGAGTCTTAGGGCTATGAACATTCTGATTATCATATTTATGCATTCCTTTGGGCATAAATTAAGTAGGCCACAGGGCAGTTGGAGGGTGACCGCAGCTCAACAAAGCTTATGGTTCAGCAAATGTGGTTGTAAGATACGGCTTCACTAAAAAATATTCACAGCTAAGCAATTTTAGGACTCCACTCTGAGGTTTTGATCTAAAAACTTGGAGTTTCCAATAGAAAAGGACTGGGTTTACCATCATATTGGTCTTGGGATACAGAAATATTTAGTTGCCTCAAGTAAGCAATAATGTGAACCAACAGAGTATTTCAAATTGCAATATTTCTACAAATCTGTAAGTCATGAGTTGGGAAGGGTTTTCAGCACATGCAATAACCTTATTTCAGTTTCTTTTTGTTGACTTCCAGATACCCAGGGGCTTTTCTTGGTGTATATATTAGAAGCCTTTACGCGGGTCATTCGCTTTGAAATATCAGCTCAATATTTGAGGAAATTATTTGAACAGCGTATTTATTCTCTGATTTGGAAAATAATATGTGCATTTTCAAGTAAATGTAGAATTATTGAAATGTTCCAACATTGTAAAGGAACTATCACAGCCACAATAATTTCCTGGGTTGTGGAGCTGAACACCATCATTTATAATATACATTGAGAAATTCCATAAAATCATGAAATGCACAGGAATCCAGTAAGTACCTAGACATGTGGGAGAATAGGGATGAAGTAGCTTCAGAAGCAACCTAATGTCAACCTCATGCTTCAAAGGTTTGGGTTAATAAAAATTGAGGCAGACCAGCAGTAGTACTTTGATCTAGATCAAAACTTCCCACTCTAATTCCTTGGCTGTGAGAGGAAAGTGAATTTCCAGATTTCTCTCTGTAAAGGAAAAAAAAATAAATGTGAAATACGCTGACATACTTTTTCAATAGTTTTAGAACTTGTGGTTAAATTTATGAAATTTGTTCAGTTACAATCTAACACATAAAACAGGAGGGGGGGTGATGAAATTAACATGTCCAAAAGTTACAAAGGAAACCTCTAAAATAAGGCAGGATTGCCTTATCCTTTCTTCAGTGGGTGCTGGTTCCTCACCTGGGGGATAATTCCTACTGAGTGAAGTACTTAGTCTACAGAGCCTCTTGATTTGTTCCAGTTTCTCACTCACATTCCCATGGAATTTCAGAGTATCACTGGTTTTATTAGTCAGGATTCTTTGGTTGGCCAATCATGACAATATTTATTTTAAAATATTCCTGTTTTCTTTCAGTGTCCTTGAAAATAACCATATAAAACTTCGCTGCACTCACTCATACAGATGAATGAAGATCAAGAAAAAGAAAAGTTGTATTCCCACTGCCTAAGAAGTTGGCCGGGTTCCTTCACTAGACTATAAGCTCCGTGAGGGTAGGGATATTAAGTTTTTGTCCTTCAGGGTGTCATCAGCACTAGTATGGTGATTTGCACATAATATAGCAACTCAATAAAGATTTCAGTTTGACTGATTACATCTGGGGTTATCAGCCCCTGCACGATGTGTTTCCTCTACTTATTATCAATTACACTTCACAGTGACTTTTCTAGTTAGGCAATATTATCCTCCTTTTATAAAGTCCCAAGGTCACATAGCAGGAAAGCAAAAGAATTGGGATTAGAACACAAGCTTTCTTATTCCAAGTTTATTACCCCCACCCATATCAGCTGCCTGAAACAGTATTCAGGGGACAAAGTTTCAAAATCTTTTCTCATCCCACCAAATAAAGAATAATATTTGATTCTTCTCATTTTTACCTGAATATCTACTATAAGAGTCTTTCCTTAACCACAGAAAAGGAAGAGTTTTGAGATCCATTGTTTCTTTCAATTATGAAGGAACAGCAAAATCTTCAGTTGATTATTTAGAGAAAAAGCTGCCTAATCCCCATTCCAATATTTTCCTAATCATGTTCCTGGTTGGAACACAGGCAATGAGTTTGGAACCCGAAGCCCATTTCCTGTCTAAAATGGTTTTCATTCATTGAATGTGAACACTTGTTTTTTATTGCGAGTTGTTTACAAAGCTAAGCTGCTGGAATTCATTTCTTTTAATGAACAAAAGAGTGATGGAATATTTAGCTGGAAGGAATTCACAAAGTTGCATGCAACTGGAAAAGAGTTTTAAGGAAAAGTTTTCAGTTGTAATGGAGGTTCCTCAGTCCAAACTGGAGGAACATTCAGGTAAAATTCTTTTAATTAAAGAATTGAATAAGTGAGAAAAGGAAGTTTGATAACCTCTTCAAACTAACCAGAGCTTGTTCTCATCCAAAAACTCATTCATTCAGGAAATATTAACGAACATAAAATCCTTGCTACATGCCAGGCATTAGGATCCAAAGTTCACTAAAACTGATCTGTACCCATAAAAGATAAATAATTTTATGTTTTTATGAATAATGGCCAATGACTGTTATTCTTAAAGGTAATTCATTGAAGTGAAAGCAAATTATACTCAAAACCCCAGTAGGGAGAACAATAAAATCAACACATAATGCTGAGATCAGCTGCATATAAAAGTAACCTTGAAGACCAAAACTTGATTGATACTTGGTCTATAGAATATATGTATTAAAAGAAATTGTTCCTTGTTTTATTGGTGAAGCTTCAGTCTTTATTTAAATTGAGATACAATTCACACACTATAAAATTCACCATTTTAAAGTGAACAATTTAGTGGCTTTTAGTACATTCACAGAGTTGTGTAATCATCACCATGATCTAATTCCAGAACATTTTCATCACCCTAAGAGAACCTCTGTAAACTTTAAGCAGTCATTTCATATTAATGGAATCATACAACATGTGGTCTTTTGTGATTTACTCCTTTCACTTACCATAATATTTTCAAGGTTCATCTGCATTGTCACATGAATCACTTCACTCCTCTTTATAGCTGAATAATATTCCATTGGATGGATAGACCATATTTGGTCCATCTATTCATCAGTTGATGGACATTTGGGTTGTTTGCACCTTTTGGCTATTATGAATAATTCTGTGATGAACATTTGTGTACATGTTTTTGTGTGAACAGGTTCCTTTGAAATGGTCAACCTAGAAACAAAGAAAAGCAAGAGTCAGAAAGATACCTAGCACTGTGCCAAAGACAGCAAATGGATCAGTAGTCTGTTCCTTTTGTTGCTGAATAGTATTCCATTGTATGAAGATACCACTGTTTGCTTATTCATTTACCAGTTGTAGGATGTTTGGATTGTTTCTAGTTCTTGGTAATAAAGAATAAACCTGCTATAAACATTTACATACAGCTTTTTGTGTGCATATAAATTTTAATTTCTCTTGAGTAAATACCTAGGAGCGGAATTCCTGAATCATATGATAATTGTAGGTCTTTCTAAACTGCTAAACTCTTTTCAAGGAGACCCAATCATTTTGCATTTCCATCAGCAATGTATGAGCTCAGTTGCTCCACATCCTTGTCAACACTTAATATTGTCAGATTTTTTGTTTGTTTGTTTTATTTTTAGCCTTTCTAATAAGTGTGTAGTGGTATCTCATTGTGATCACTTTAAGTTTTGATGCTCTAAACTATCCTAGATGGTTTCTTTTTTTTTGCCGAGAAAGATTCACCCTGAGCTAATATCTGTTGCCAATCTTCCTCTTTTTTTCCCCTGAAGCCCCAGTACACGGTTGTATATCCTAGTTGTAGGTCATTCTAGTTCTATGTGAGCTGCCACCACAGAATGGAAACTGAAAGATGGGTGGTGTGGTTCTATGACCAGGAAGTGAACCTGGGCTGCTGAAGTGGTGAGCACTGAGCTTTAACCACTAGGCCATCAGGGCTGGCAGCTAGGTAGTCTTTTTACATTGTTTTTATCCAGCAAGTGACCTGTTTTATTACTGTTATTTTTTTCATTTTTTAGCATCTTAAAAAACTTTCACAGAAATAGAGAGGCTAGTGTAATAAATCTGCATAAACTGATCACCCAGCATCAATGATTATCAACATTTTGCCAATTTGTTTCATCAAGCACCACCACCATTTTTTTGTTGTTGTTTTTTTCTGGAGTCTTTTAAAGAAATTCTCATACTTCCTTTCATTTCACTATTAAATATTTCACTATGAATACCTTAAATGACTTTAAAAATAAAGCAAAATATAATCACAAATAACAAAATTAACACTAATTCCTTAATGTCCTCTAATATTTTGTCTATGTTCAAATATCCCCAATTGCTTCAAAAGTGTCTTTTTAAAAGTTGCTTTGTTTAAATTTAATTTGCTCAAGACATGAAGTGGAAGCTAAAAAATTTGAGGTCCTACGTTCTCCAAATGACTGAGGTTCCACTCAATTTTCAGAAATAGTTTGAAGTTAGTTCAGATTTTACCCAAGTTATAGTTTAGCTATTCCAAATTATATTTTTATTACACAGCAGCAATTGGGGGTTATAAGGCAGATATTAAGAATACAGAATTGGCATATCATTTAACCCACAGATCAAAACACTTAAAAGATGCCCGCCACTATTAGCCAGTGCAGCCAATTGATTCTGTTGGCAGTGAATACATGGGTTGGCACTACCAGCCCAGGGCAGGGTGGCAAGGAGAAATACAGAGGAGGGGGGACATGGGAAAGGGTTCTTTATTTGGCCACCAGACAGAAGGACTTGCTTCTCTCACCTGGCATTGTTCAAAACAAGGCTTGTTCATAGTAGGCCCTCAACACAACAGGAAAATTAATTTAAAAATCCTATCATGAGGTGTATGTGTGTATTTTGCATCAGGGGCTTCAGTCAAATAAAATTTTGGTTTTGTTTTGGAATAAAACCCAAATAAGGAATTTTTTGTCTTGCTAGTTTTAACTTTCACTTTATTTAGTAAATAGACATGACCTTATTTTGAATTAGTTTCATTTTAGTTCACAGTTGAGTCATACAGAAATCTAGAAATTAATATGTAGATTTGAAGTTAACTAACTTGGTGTGTCCTGTTTTAATTTTTAAAATTAATATCTGTTTAAATTCCTGGTTGTAACAAGACTTTTTCTTCAATCCAAACTGCAGTGCTGTGTTATATGGCTCCCTACAGCCCCTGAGCTCTTTTTCAACATTTGCACAAATGTATTTGCTTGCTTTATTACCATTTAGTCCAGATAACAAGGTTCAAGTAAATGTAGCCTACACAATAAGAATATAATCACTGTTTAAAATCAAACTTCAGAGCAGGTCAACATGGCATAATCTCCTGTCTAAGTGATCTGTAATTCGCCTCTCCAGATAGTCATCTTGGCCCTGGAGCATTTTAAAAGGTAGTAGCTGCCAAAACTTGTTAACCATTAAACAAAGGTTTGCTTTTCTTTTATGTGGCAGGAACAAAGGTGCTCTTCTAAATCCATGTCTGAAAAACACATAGGTTTTGAAGAGTCCAATCCACTTTACAACTCTTGCATTTGGTATCCAGAACAAACCTTTTAAAAGTGTTCTGGGTGTTTCGGTTTGTTTTTTGTTTTTTGTTTTGACTTGGTTGGGTGATCTGAGCCAAGGTATGTGGGTTTTATTTCTGGGGGCAAAGCTGACATAAAGAAAACTTGGAAAACCCAAGAGAGTCCTGAAAGGAGGGTGTATTACACTGGAATGTATTCCATCAATTGCCAGAATATTTAAGAACACTGAGTCATCATTGTAGGGAATGTCCCCTTCATGAGGGCAAATATGGGTTATCATGGAGAATATTCCTCTCTTTTATTGAACCATTGTGCAATTTTGCAGTCCACATGTTTGCCTTTCATGGTAGCTAAAAAGTAAACATTAGCATTTTTGCTCACTTTTCAATTTTATGAAGTTGGCGTACTGCATTACTTCCAACTTCAAAGAATTCTGTAGTTTTGTTTTCAAGGCAACTCTAGAAGACATGGCATTTTAAGCACTAGGGAATTCGCACACATGCATTCCCTCAGATTCAATTAGTCACCATTTGAATCTGAAGATCTAAATTTCTACTTAGTTGACTGTGCTCAAGGCAGGTTTCTCCTAGGGCATTGTGTCTTTTCACAATTATATTTGGTTTCTGCCAAGTTCTCCTTCTGGAACTTAGAATGTCTTTTTAGACCTTCATCAGTGAAAGAACAATGCCAGGTTTTTCATTAGTGTAATGAACCCATTCACCAAAGTCAATGGAATATCATGTTACTTATCAAATTCCTTAGAGTAAACATGTTGGCAAAGTCATTGCTTTCTTCTACCTATTAGAATTGTGTTTTTTTTACTGCCAGATGAAAGTTACAAAGATACTTGATGTGATATTTTATAACCAGCGTTTTTCATCCTCCTTGGAAATATGAACATTTGGGGCCAGATAATTCTTTGTTGAGGGGGCTATCCTGGGCGTTGTAGGATATTTAGCAGCATCCCTGGCTTCTACACACTAGATGCCAGTAGCCCTTCCATCCCAGTCATGACAACCACAAATGTCTCCAGACATTGCCAAATATCCCCTGGGGGACAAAATCACACCCTGTTGAGAACCACTGTTTTATAACCAGCAAGACAGGTATTCGTTTTCTGTCTTTTGAATTATTTATTCATTAATACATTCCACAGTCAACCGCTATGTATGGAGCAGAGTTGGACACAAGATGGTACTAGACATGATCCTTGCATGATGCTTGTTCTCATAGACTTCATGGATTAGCCTAGAAAGACAACAGTCTAACCTTATTCCTAACATCTCCCTAGCAAGAGTCCTGAACCATGGTCAGTATAGGCTAGGACCCATTCGGTGAACTCACATCTTGCCTTGAGTCATGACCTTCCTATTGCTCCAAAATCACCAAGCAAGAGCACCTATATGGTCTTGGTGGCTACTCCAAAGGATGACCCCACTCTCTTTTGAGCTCTTTCATGGTACTGGGTTTGTACCACTCATTACCTACTGCCCCATTTATAGATGCTATGTACAGCTCATCATTTTTTTATTCCTAGTGACTAGCACCTCTCTAAGATAGATGCCTGGCTGGGTGCCTGGATGGATGGTTGGGTTGATTATTGTGGAGTACCTTAGCAGCCAAACTAAAGAGTTTAGAGACAATTTTTTTTTAAGTATGAGAATGACATGACCAAAACAACCACTTAGAAATATCATCCACGTGACATTGTGCTGTAAAGATTGGAGAAGGAAAACTTGAAGCCATGGAGATAGTAATAAAATTATTTTATATTCTTCCTATGGATCAATAAAGTACATTAGCAGAATAATGGCAACACAAATGGGGAACAAAGGAACAAAAGGAGAAACATTTCAAAGAAAAAATAAATAAGATTTTGGAAGAGAAATTGATCATCACAAAGGAAATGGAAGTCAAAGGACTCTGAGTTCAGAGTGGGGATCTGAAAATATGGTTTCTCCATTAAATACAAATAGAAACGTTGAGAGGAGTCAGGGATATTCTGGCATACTGAGGTCGTCATTCTTCATGTAACTTTCCTCATTTGAAAGTAATATTCTTATGAATTTCCTACTCTTACATTAAGTTCAGCAGTAATCTAAGAGCAAGGAAATTAGGGAGTCAGATGATTGACTATGTGAACAATATCACATGGAAAATAATGATGAGAAAAGGAACACAATATGGGTAAAAGAGGACTTGCAGGATCCCTCTTATGTTGTGAGGAGAACAGGTTATGGTGGGGCCAGGGTAGAAGTAGGGATATCATTTAAGAATCTATTACGTTAGACCCCAGTGTCAGGGACGGGGACTATTAGAAGTGGTCAGATTAGGGATCCATTGTGAAGACAGAGCCAATAGAATTTTTAGATGAATTCAGTATAAGGAATGATTCAAAGATGACCACAAATTTTATGGCATGAATTACTGAGTTGAGGAACTGAGGGAAGTAGCCAGTTTGGGAGGGTATCAAAAATTCATTTTCTTTTTTTTGGTGAGGAAGATTGGCCCTGAGCTAACATCTGTGCCAAGCTTCCTCTATTTTGCATGTGGGAGGCTGCTACAGCCTGGCTTGATGAGCATAGCTCTGTGCCTGGGATCTGAACGCAGGAACCCCGGGCCACTAAAGCAGAAGGCATGAAGTTAACTACT